AATTCCTCTCACCCATACTATTTTCTTTTCATTCCGATCAATTCTTGCACCGAATATTTGAATTGCGATTTCACTGTCATCAATTCTCGTCACGGGTTTCGTTCACATATTGCCCGATGCATTCGAGAGCTTGTCTAGCCCTTGCCTTCCTGAAAAACCGTGGGGTGATTTCCCTTTTGTTGGGTTTATAGCAATGGTTGCGGCAATTGGGACAATGATGGTGGATTTGGTAGCTATGAGTTATTTTAGGAGATCAAGAAAGGAGATTTCTCTGGTAAGGTCACTAAAAGCAAATCAAATCCCTAACCAAATCACTAAAAGCAGGTAATGAAAATAAGAAGATGCGTGTTGTACCTTCAAATCTCAAAGGTGTCGCGTGTTGTATCTTCAAACGTTGCTACGGCGGATTCGCCGGAAATTAGGGTTTGTTCTTGAACAAAGACGACGCAGTTTGGGGCTGAGCAACTTATTTTCTGTTAATATATTTCAATGTATTTTCATGTATTTCATTGTATTCATTGTTTTTTTTTTCCATTGTAATTCAATGTATCTCGTTGTATTCCATGTATTTCATTGTATGCACTGTCTTTTTTTTCATTGTATTTCAGTGTATCCCGCTGTATTCTATGTATTTCATTGTATTCACTGTCTCGCTATATGCCATGAATGTATTCATATATTTTTTTTAATTAATATAATTTATGTATTCAGATGTATTATATAATTTCTCTGAAGATTGCTATGTTTTTGGGGTATTTTTCGTTTGAGAATCTTTTTTATAACTGAAAATACAAAATTTGTATGTTATAATTGAGTTTGTTGAGTTATATTAGGAGTCTATTATGTTAATTGATTCACTTTCTGTTTTAAAACAGTGTAATCCCCTATTTCACGTCGTGAATACAGTCGAATACAATAAGAATACAATAATCTGTCCAGCTGTAATCCCATGTTTCACTCCATGAATACAGTCGAATACACTCGAATACAACAACTGATTAGCTGGACTTCCCTGATTCACGCCTATTTTTGCTACTGTATTCATGAATACAATAGCTTAAATACATCAAATACATCTTATAACCACAGAAAAGGTATCTATGATCCGTAATATAGCAAATGGTATCTATAGATGGCTAATTACTACTAAAAGATAGTACTTTATGAAAATTTCTCTTTTTAATTAGCCCAAATTGATCCATGAGTGACTTTGCTAAAATATTCAGAAATAATATTTTTTGTTTGTTTGATATGTTATATATGACCGTAACAAAAGAAAAAAGTCTTATTTGATATCTAACAAATTCATAAAAAAAATAATACACATTAATTAAAGCTTGGTAGGAGTTGGGTAGGTTGGGTTGTGGCCCAAATTTTACCTCAACTTGATCTAGCCCATCTCAACTCAAATTGATCCATTTATTTATTAATTTGGCTCATTTTGACCCGCCCAAAATCAGCCCTAACTCGTCCATTTAACGGTTGCAATAGTCCAAATCCTACTACCAGTATGAGTTAAAGAGAGAGGAGTAAATGATATGAGTTGAAGTGTTAGTGGCGAATATAGTAGATTCGAGAAATGGGGCTGTGGGTTGGGGAAGAAGTCAGGAGAGTGCATGTGCATATAAAATTAAGCAATGGGACCAAAAAGGAACCCCATGGGCCATGGCCATGACCACTCAATTAAATGGTTTGCATCCCATAAATTTGGCCTTATATGGGCAACTTTTCTGCCCTCATAATAAAGAATTCTGACCTCTTTTTCATTTCTCTCTTGAATGTATATGGTGATTGTTTCACCTGAGACCTGCAGTTAGTATGCTACATCTTTATCATCATTTTCTTGTTATATTATTGTAACTTTCTTACTTTATTAAGTAGTAATCTGTTCCACTGACGATGTAATAAAAATTTTACAGCATTTGTTCAAGGTTATTTGTTTTATTGTTCAGGTTACTAACTACACATATTATTGCTAATTACCTACAATTACCTTTTAAGTGACCCAATAATGCAAACGAGTTTTACATTGTCAGTGTATTGAATTAAATCTGATTTATATACACCCCAATAATAACTTGTCTTATTGTCACTTAATGATGGGCCATATGCATTTACTTTTCAAGAATTGGCATTTATGGCCTACTGCATTACTGGGAAATGTTCAAAGTCAAGCAGACTTGGACAAAATGGTAAACCTGCAAAGACCAAGCCTTCAATTATGGCCAATTAAGAAACCAATGGAGTCAAGAAATTTTGTTTTTAATGGTCCTGTTATGTCAGCAAATAATAATTCAAGCATGGCTTTAAATGCAATCCAACTAAGGTCATATATATAATTGGTATTATAGAAGAACTAACTGTAGTTTATGTAATTGCAAATAATTTCCTGCCTAGTTGTATGCTGCTCAATCTTGTTATCCTGTTAATTGGGTTTTCATATGTTTTCCGTACTAAACTTGTTGTTCCATAAAAATATGAACATAATTCCATGTGAGGCACATAATTTGGATTTTCATAGCATGTCAGAGATCTACTGAGATTCGTCGTAGCAGAACAATGTTAAATAGTCCGTTTAAAATGTGTCCACTTAGGGATGACAAACAGGCGGGTCGGGTCGGATATGGGCGGATAGAAAACGGATAATTCACAGAACGGATAAATTATTCGACCCGACCCATATTTTGAGACGGATAAAACGGGTTATCCGGCGGATAATATGGATATCCATATTATCCATGGCTTCTTGAATATGATTACTTATAGGAGAATTCCTAGTCTCTCAAACTTGAGGAACCTCCAATTTGATGTTTTACAAATATAAAAGTTAAACACATTAGTTATCCATTGGTTATCCATTTTCTAAGTGGATAATATGGTTCTTATCCATATTCGACCCATTTTTAAAAAGTTCATTATTCAACCCATTTTATAATGAATAAGCGGGTAACTGTTTTGTTTTAACCATTTTGCCACCTCTATGTCCCATTGTTGTTGTGGATGTGGTAAAATGTTTTAACTTTTATAAAGGAATTTTCAAAGGTAATTACAAGTACCTGTCTATGATATTAGTAACCTAAAAGATAAAATAAGTAACTTGCTAGAATTGGTTAATATACACATTTAGTGTTTATTTTCATTGTTAATGTATAAAAGTTAAATCCGTGGTAAAAATACAATGGTTGTGGCAAGTTGTTGCCAACTTGAGAAACAACTTTGGGACCTTTATTTGCAGTTGAGTAGTTTAATGTGTATAAATATGTCATATAGGTAATGTATACTCCAAAAATCACAAATTTTCAATATTTAAAAAGTAAAAAAAAAAGGAGAGGAAAGAAGTACTTCAAAACTAGCTTGTGGTATTTGTAAAATCAAATAGTTGGTGTATGCTGGCTGGTAGGGGTATACATAGTTCGGGTTGATTCGGATTTTTTAATTACCAAACCTAATCAGTTGTGTCGGGTTATTAAATCTAAAGATCAAACCAAACCAATAAAAGTCAGATTTTTTAACCTCAGTTTTTCTCGGGTTTTCAAATTTTCAGGTTTTTTGGGGTTTTTTCATAAAGTCTTCATAGCACGAAATATAGAATTTGTGCTCCAAATATTTCTTTACCCACCAAGTAAGACAGAATTATATAAGGTGTTTTTCAAGAAAACAACATAAAATTTAAGATGATTTATGACATTTTACTAAAATATTCAGTAATAAAGACTATAAAATCGCATAAAAACATATTAATATTAATAAGCCATAATAAAAATGAACGTAAACTAAAATTATAAAGTTGCTAAAATAAGTACGACTAATAAGTACTATTATTTACATGACTAAATACTAAAAAAAGTTATGCATTTTATCTAAACCATGGAAGAACTAAAAAACAGATATCCAACACTATGGTCATTCCTAGTACAATTGAATTAAATGTCTTTTGTTAGCATTAATATTGATTTGATTTTGGTCTAGATTTTATTTGATCACTAACAATAATGGAGTAAAAAACTTATTGGAGCATTCAAAAATTATATGTCCAAACTTTAAATAATACATTAAAAGATAAAACTGTGAAAAAGTTTAAGAAATATTTATAAATTACACTACAATAAATACTTTTATATATTAAATATATTTAAAACTTCTATACATTTAATGTCGGATTGGATCGGTTGCAGTTTGACTTTTTTTTGTTAAAACCAAACCAAATCAAATTATGGTCGGGGTTTTTTCCCCAACACCAACACAAATCAAACCGAACCATAGTCGGGGGTTTTTTTTCTTCTCTTTTTGACTTGAATTATCGATTTGGTGCAGTTTGTTGGTTTCCTTTGTACACCCCTACTGGCGGGCTGTTGCAAAATTTTTGTTGAGCATATTGTTTCTTGCCCATGGCCAAGACTTATTCTCTTTATTTGGGGAGAAATTCAAAAATAGCCAGATTTACCACTGGTTGTTGAAAAATAGCCAAGTTTCAAAAGTCATCGAAATTTAGCCACTTTAATTCTGAGCGAAAACACTGTTCAAAATCCGGAAAAATACGCCCGCAAATTTTACGGGAGTTCCAGCATAAGTATGCTTGAACTCCCGTAAATTTTACGGGAGTTCCAGGATAACTATGCTGGAACTCCCGCAAATTTTACGGGAGTTCAAGCATAATTATGCTGGAACTCCCGCAAATTTTACGGGAGTTCCAGCAAGTATAATTGTCCAGTATAATATACTGGAGTTTGGAGCACTGATGCTCCAGTCTCCCGCAAATTTTACAGGAGTTAGCAAAGTATACCGGTCCAGCATAATATGCTGGAGTTTGTACACAAATGCACCAGAACTCCCGTATATTATACTGGACCGATCCCTGTTGCAACAAAATAGTGGCTATTTTTCATTGACTTCATAAACGCTGGCTATTTTTCATTGACCATTGTGAAAACTGGCTATACCATGATATTTCCTACCCCATTACTAAGCAAACCGGCAAATTTTGATTCTTCACAAAATTGAAGAAAAAACCAATAAGGGCAATGCATAAAGCAAACGACAAACTCGTGTACTAGTCTTAGTGCTAAGTTTGGTATTGTATACCTTACTCTTCTCCTCTCCCTAATTATAAATAGACTACCAACAAAGAGGAATCAGTCCATTTTAATCTTTAATTCTATCTTTTTCATCACCAACCTTTCTTTTCAAAAAAAGCTGAAATCTTTTTAGGTGAATTTGTTGCTAAGAAAGTCTAAAGAATGAACATATCAGCTTCTGAATGCACTAATGAGTGTGAATCTGGATGGACAATGTACTTTGATGAATTCTCATATTCAGCAGATAAATGCAATGGAGTTAAGGGGAGAAATAATATTCATGAAATAGAAGGTAGGGGAAAAACAGTAAATGTTGATGAAGAAGATTTGTCCATGGTTTCTGATGCTTCCTCTGGTCCACCACATTTCCATGAGGATGAAGAAAATGGACATGTTTTTTATCCTTTGGTTTCTGAATACACAATGGCAAAGCAAAAGAGGAAAATAAAAGAGCAGAGTGGAAAACAACACAATCTTTGTCTTGATGATACTGCTAGTTCTACAGTTTCCAGCTTCCCAAAGGCAAGTTCAATCATACAATTGTCAATAGTCTTACAAACCAAAAAGTGCTCCTTTGAATTTCTTTTTTTTTTTTTATAAATTTTTTTCCTTATCAAAAGACGTCTGGTTAACGGGAGCCTTAGAGCAACGGTTAAATTGTGTTTGTGTGATTTATATGGAATCACCATTCAATAATTGCATCATTGTTAGCTACCTACATGAATATGAGATATGAGATATATGGATGCGACCTTTTCTCGAATCTTACGTGAATATGAGATACTTTGTGCACCGTGCTGCCTTTTAAAAGCCGTCTTGTGGTGGTATTTACCTTGAGACATGTATTCCTTCTTATACATATCACCAAAAAAGCGGAAGACTAAGAAGACTTTGTCTCGCCCAACGTGTTAGGCATTGGCATTTACCTCTTGTATTACATGTAGGAGGGCATGTAATACCTTAACTCCACAGTGGTGACGTGTGTGTTACTATCTTATTTAAAAGCTTATATTATTAGAGAAAATATACTTATTGTGACTTAATTATATTATGTCTCAACACTCACATCGTATATGAAGAATGGACAAGCTCATTCTTCCTAGTGAAAAGGGCAAGTTCTATTTAATCTTATTCTTTGATACTTAACTTTGCCACTTATGTTTTCAGGACACCACAGGTTTTTAATTTCTATTTCCCTTCTTTGCTTTTGGATTGTCATGGTTTATTCATTGACCACTAATCTATGCAAATGCCAATCCCTTTTTTCTTTCAGGGTAAATCTGTTGTGGGGAAACATTTTGGTTTCTTGAAAACATCTCTGAATGGGAAAGCTTCATCTGAGAAATCTGGTGTGTAATGTAGTTAAAATTTTAAAAAGGCTAGTTTCAATTATTGAATTAGTATTTTAAAATAAATGTATTTTTATATAAATGGTTTGGCTTTGTGATTTTTGCAGGTTCTTTGAAGGGAAGAAAGAAGGGATGAGAATTTTACAATTAGACTTATGAGGATCTTGTATTTATCCTTCTTATGTTTTCTTTTTAAAATCCTTCTTCTACTTATTTGTTCCTGTCCATGTAATGGGAAACAACTGAAAGCATAAATGTGAAGAAAAAACTTAGGTCTTTATTTCACATAGTAGTTTTAAAAAAAATAAAGGAATAGGAATTTTTCTCACACTAGTAGTGCTCATCAATGTCATCATTCTGCTCTCTGATTGTTCAACGAAGTTATACCCAAAATATAATAACAATAATACAAGTGGAGTTTGGGAAAAGTAGTGTGTACGAAAACTTTACCCCCACCGTAAGAATGTGGAACAGCTGTTTCCGATAGACCCTCGCCTAAAAGAAAAACAACAAAAAAGCAGAAGCACCATAACACCGGCAAAATAACAAGAAAACCCAATAAAAAGAAACAACAGGCAGTGATAGAAATCTAAAAAAAATAAAAAAGTACATGACTGATACTAATGATACTAGTGTGGACAAGAACAACACACGACTATTTACTAACCCTCCACCCTAATACTCGACCTCCACATCCTCCTATCAAGGTCATATCCTCGATAAGCTGAAGCAGCGCTATGTCCTGCCTAATTGCCTCTCCCCAATACTTCTTTGGCCTACCTCTACCTCTCCTCGTACCCATAACCTCTCGCAATTTCTTACTGGAGCATCTGTGTCTTTCCTCTTCTTATGTCTGAACCACCCACCCCCAAAATATAAAAAAATGGATGTCTTGTGCTTCAAATGACAGAATTCTTGCATAAGACCAATTATTCACGGAAATAGCCATCATGGAGAAATGAAAGAACAACCTGTAACACTAGAACGCAAGGCAAAAGTCACACTTTTCGTCTTTGAGCATTAACAATAAGTATGCACCCGAGGTTGACATCAAACGATGTTAATTTATCATCATCGTTTTAATTAACTAGGAGTATAATTTAGTGGTAATATTGTGTTTAAAGGCACATGTTATGTATTTATTTACGAATATAATTTAGTGTAATATTGTATTTAAAGGCACATATTATGTCTTTATTCACGAGTTGGGGTAAACACAGAGTGTGGTCGGTACCTTTTTTCAGAGCATCGACAGCCTAGCTGTGGGAATACATTGGGGTGATTTGATGAGTTGAATGAATCGGGTAATGTAATCTGCTAAAAATGTAACAAGACAAGATGAATGATAAAGATTGATCCATTTAAAGTCACCAAAAAGGCACAATCCCACCTTCTCATGACAGCTACACACTATATATAAATGTCATCTATATATGTGTATATATCATATTGGTGCAATGCAATTATTGATTTTTGTCCTAGAGAAGGTTCTCCATCCAAATCTTTATTGGTCATATGATCCTTAGAATTGCCATCCGTATCTTGGAGAGTGACATAGTTTCTGGATAAAAGACAAGACCTCCAGCTATTGTTCCTGAGTCCTGACAATTTCCTTTCATGGTCCACTCTAATCAATTGTAATTAGTTATTACTAATATCATAGAGTAAAATTGGAATACACTAGTGTTAAGTTAGGTGCCTTTGTGTTTTTTGATGATATAACAAATTTTTTAATAAGAATCAGATTGGGAACCTGCTACACATCCTCAAAGTGCTCAAGAACAACAAGTCTCAAGTCTGGCACAAGTCTCAACAACTTGAGTAAAAAACGAGAGAGGAAACAGATATCCATCAGTTCCTCTGATGACAGTACAAGTCAACTCTCTACAGTTCTAAAGTCGCTGCAACGTGTTTTGCACACGCAACAGTGTAGCAGTCACCTCTTTGAACATGCCTTGTATCGGATAATTGCATACATCATCCTAATGACCTCACCTATATATTACCAACATGAGGCAAGGGAAAGCAACACATTTGCACAACCCTAAATCATCAATTTTCTCTCAAGCGTGCTGCCGACTTCCAGTCCTTGAAGAACAAAGCAACAACAGAACCAAGGACCAGATCCCAGTATCAAGTCTATCATACGTCCTTAGTATTATTGTGTCTTTGTTAGTGTCACTTATTTGTAACTCCTACTTAGCTTACTTAGAAGCACTTCTGTATGAGATCTTTTGTAAAATCATAAATCATGTGTTTGTGTTTTGGCTAGAGTTAGTCAAAGTGTGTGCTTTGTAATAGAGTTATTACAAAGAGGCTTGTAATAGAGTTGTTACAAGTAGGTGAGGGATTAAGAGGTTAATTCCTAGATTACAATAGGTTGTAATCTGAAAATTGCTCAGTTAGTGAAGTTGAAATCCTACGAGGGTAGGTCGTGGTTTTTAACCCCGTGAGATGGGAGTTTTCCACATAAAACTTTGTTGTGTCTTTTACTTACTGTTGTGTGTGTATTTTGTGGAAACTGATAGAGAATCAGTTTCTCTATACAGTTTGGTGGATCCTAAGAATACATCAATTGGTATCAGAGCAGGTTCTTCTACAAGGCTAACACCTAGAAAAGATCCATATGGCTGCTCCACCAAACTTTGAAGAAGGCCAATCAACCTATAGACCACCAAGATTCAATAGACAGTATTACGGATGGTGGAAGGCAAGGATGCATGATTTTATCATGGCTGAGGATTGTGAGCTATGGGATGTTATCTGCGATGGCCCCTTCGTTCCCATAAAGACCATTGGGCAGCCAACAGTGACAGTTCCAAAAATAAGGAAGGAGTACATTGATGCTGACCGCAAAGCTATAGAAAAACACTACCGAGAAAAATAGATCCAAGTCTGTGGTATTGGTCCAGACGAGTATAACAGAATCTCTGCCTGTCAATCCGCCAAGAAGATCTGGGAGGCTCTCCAAATAGCATATGAAGGGACAACTCAAGTTAAGCAGTCAAAGATCGACATGCTCACTACTGAGTATGAACTATTTAGGATGAAGGATGATGAGTCCATTCAGGATATGCATACTTGATTCACCTCCATCATCAATGAGCTCCACTCTCTAGGAGAAATCATTTCAAGAAACAAACTTGTTAGGAAGATGCTTAGCATATAACCTGGCTCTTGGGAAAGAAAAGTTAATACCATCACAGAGGCAAAAGATCTTCAAAAGCTGACCATTGATGAACACATTGGTAATCTGAAGACTTATGAAATGAAGAAGAAGAAGGACCATGAAAGAAGAGAGCCCAAAAAGGAGAAGAACTTGGTCCTCAAGGCAGATAACAATGACTCAAGTGGCGAGGATGCTGATATGGCCTACCTGACAAAGCGATTTCAGAAAATGGTTCGCAGGAATGGAGGCATTTAAAAAGGGGAAGCTCCATCAAACCAAGAGGTTATGACTTGTGTCATAAATGTGGGAAGTCAGGACATTTCATCAAAGACTGTCCTCTCCTAAAGCAAGACTAGTACAAGCACAACACAGACAAAGAGACCAAGAGTAACCCGGTTCCTGATAAGAGATTCAAGAGAAAGATGTCGCTGACAATATTGTGAAAAAAGCTCTTGCTGCATGGAGAGATTCTTCTAGTAAATCTGGGGAAGATGATGAACAAGGTGACACCTCCATGATGGCAATTGAAAGTGAAGCAGCTGAATATGACTCTATCTTTGCACTAATGGTAAAATCTGACGATGATGAAGATGATGACGAGGTAAACTTTCTAGATGTTCAAAGAAATTTGAAGTCTGACTCTCAAAAGAAGCTTATATACTTGGCCAATGTGTTAATTGATGCTTATCATAATTTTATAGATGATAAAAATGTGTTAACTGTGGAACTAGGAGAGGTAGAACACGAGAAAATGTGATGATCCGATAGGTCATCTCATGTTTAGAACCAAATTATGTGTTTCGAAGCCTTAAATATCTCATTTTAGCCTTCCTCGATTTGCGTGCGTGGTTCGATTGTTTTTCCGGAAGGCTTATATGTTAAAAACTGATAAAAATAAGAATTTTTGCCTTAGAAATTCATTTGAGTTGACTTCGGTCAAAATTTTAAGTAACAGACTCGGATCCATGTTTTGACGGTCCTAGTGGGTCTGTATCATAATTTGGGATCTGGGCATATGCTCGGAATCGAATTTCGAAGTCCCTAGCTCGAGATATGAATTTTTGTTGAAAAATTGAAAGTTCAATAATTTTAAAGAAATGACTGATGTTTGGTCTTGTTGATACCGGATCCGTATTTTGGTTCTGGAGCTCGCTATAGGTCTATTATTATATTTATGACCTGTCTGTGAAATTTGGTGAGAAACGGAGTTGGTTTGACGTAACTCGGACGTCCGGTTGTGAAAATAGAAGTTTTAAAGTTTTCTTAAAAATTCATCCGATTTGGTGTTCAATTCGTAGTTCTAGGTGTTAGTTTGGTGATTTGATCGTGCGAGCAAGTTAGTACGATATTTTTGGACTTGTGTACATATTTGGTTTGGAGCCCCGAGGGCTCGGGTGGATTTCGGATAGGCTACGGGTGTTTTGGAAACTTAGAAATCTGGTGTTTTCGCTTCAGCTGGTTTTCTGGAGTGTTGTGTTTCGCAACCGCGAAGCCATTCTCGCGATCGCGAAGGGGATCTGGGCTAGGGGAGGATTTTACACTACGCGAACTCAAGACCATGGTCGCGAACGTGGAGCTTTGGGGGGGTTTTCTCTACGCGAACGCGACCCGTCACTCGTGAACGCATATCATTAGCTAGTCTGGGCAGGGGGCTTGGGGTTATTCTACGTGAACGTGGGTCTTGTCCGGCGACAGCGGAGGTCAGGAGGGATAAACCTTCGCGAATGCGTGTAACCTCGCGCAATCGCGTAAGCCTAGTAGGCTCTGCTCTTCATGAACGCGTCAGTGTTCACGCGAACGCGATGAACACTGACGCCCGGTGATAAAACAGTCCCAATTACGGGATCTTTTTCCATTCTTTCAAAATTTCAAAACTTGAAGACCTAGAGGCGATTTTCCCAAGAGATTTTCTTCCCCAATTCGTTGGTAAGTGATTCTAACCTACTTTCTTTCAATTACCCACTACATTTCATGAGTTTTCAACCTAAAATCTAGGATTTTCATGGTGGAAATTGGGGGTTTGGGAAGAATTAGGAATTTTGTAAAATTGGAATTTAGACCTCAAATTGAGGTCGGATTTCGAAACAAATTCCATAACCGGACTCGGGGATGAATGGGTAAATGGATTTTTGTCCGAACCTCGGGTTTGGACCAAGTGGACCCGGGGTCGATTTTGACTTTTTGGGTAAAAGTTGGGAAATCTAAATTTATGCATTTTAGTTGATTCCTTTAGCAATATTTGATATTATTGAGTTAATTGTAGCTAGATACGAGTGGTTTGGAGATGGATTATACGGGAAAGGCCCCGGTAGAGCTTGAAAGGAACCCTCAGACTATGTGCTATGTGATTCTCATGTGAGCGACGTATATTCGAGGTGACGAGTGCTTATACGCCGTCGGATTATCTGTTTTCCCTAATTTTCCGCTTTTTCTTAATTATTTCCTTCCATGTCTTAACTTTTATTTGCTTTAAATGCTTCCATGCTTA